CACTGGGGTTCAAGGAGACAGAAGCAGACATAGAAAAAGCAGCAGAGATACAATAATGATGAGATCTGACCTGAAGATTTCTATAAAGGCTAAAGTTAAGGGCTGTTGGATCTATTTTAGCAATCAGAACTGGGGGTAAAAATCTAAATCGGGTCAATCGAATGGGGGTCATTGGACAAGAAGTGAAGGGCGGTCCTCACATGTTGTGTGATGTGATCCCTGAGGTAGGCCAGGGGGCCAAAGTTAGAGAGCCAGCAATACCTCAGGCCGGTATTCTGTCAGACCAGCATACCTATAGTCAATATGCATGCGCAACACGTCAGATTTGCGTCTATCCCTTGATAAATTGACTTTAAACTACCTCAATGGGCGTGTTTCTCTTTAGTCATGTACAGAGAAAACTATTTAAGATCAGATTGTCATATGCTTCAAAAAACACCAAAAAGTAAGTCATTAAATTGTTTTTTTGTAAATAACTAAAGGGATCCACGCCCGTTGGAGTAGTTTAAAGTTTATTTTTCATACATAACTAAAGAGATAAATGGGTATTGATTGTGGATCTGCTGGCTGACAAAACACCGGCTGATATTGGAGAGTTTTTTTTCTTGTATCCATAGAGGGGCTGCAACTAACAATGAATTAGATTAATAATCAGATAGCAAAAAGTTCCTTAAAGGAGCTTTTTTACAAGATTAAACCGGATGAAACTAAACATTTCTCCACTTGAGGAGTTCTGGATAGAGCAGATTGACAGATGATAAAGTTTTTTATCTTAAATGTTTTCCATTTCCTCCTTAGTATCTGACTTCCTCCACACCAATAAGAAATGCAGCTTTAAGCACAGTTATTAAAGCCTCTGCTTGTTTTATTCACCAACATCTCAGAATCAGAGATGTTGGTGGATCTCTTTTGCTTTTACAGCGTCTTACTCTGTAAAACTCTGTAAAAGCAAAAGAGGACAGAATCACTTTCACACAGGACCACCTAGTTTTGGATTTTTTCCCCCACATTAATAATAAAATCCTTCATTTAAAAACTCAAATTTCTGTTTTTTTGCTTTTGTCTTTCACTCATATTATCATTTTCTTTTGTTGTATGCCCTGAAATACTTAAGTGTGAGAAATATAAAACCAATAGAAATCAGGAATGGAGCAACAACTGTTTGTATTTCTTCGATGAACTAGAAGCATCACAACGACTATAAAATCCAACTGTAGTCTGA